CGCTGGGCCCCGGGAGGAGGTTACCAAGGCGGGAGCTCGGGGAGGGAGCCCTAAGAGGAGGCAGGGGGCGGGGGCGAGGGCAAGGGCGGTCTGAGGGCTAAAGAAAGCTCTCGGAGGTTAAACACGGGATCGGGGCTCAGCCTCAGATCCCACTCACCGTGGACTTCTTAGTGAGCATCTCCTTGGCCATGACGTCCATGAGCCGTTCCTTCTCCTCATGATATCGCCGTTGCTGCTCCAGAATTGTCTCCATCCTCCCTTCGCTGCAGAACCTCAATTCAGACCGCCGACACGGCCGGAAGCAACTCCTGCCGCCTTGCCCGCCTGCGTCCCCCACGCTGCGCATCCGGCGGCACCAAAGTTCCGCGAGTCCCGGAAGTGCCTCGGGGACTCGAGGAAAATGAGCACCACAGGGAGAGCCAGCTTATGCTACCGAGATGGCAACAGTGCCCCCTGCTGGTCGGGAGTGTGGTGACGCGATGTCGAGCGGTTTGCAGCTGCCTCTAGGGGGCATACAAAAACCCAGGAACCTAAGGTTAAGCGGTCGGCTTCCCGGAGCTTTCTGGTACCTGCTGGGGCTGGCTGGGAGGGCAAGGGCAGTGTGTGGACTAAACAGCGGTGGAAGAGTTGAATGGGAGTTGGGAAACCGGAACTTGAGTCTGTAGCTTTCAGTGTGACCTCTGACGTTTTTTCCTCCTCTGGACCTCGGTGGTTCGTCAATAAAATGGGGGTGAGTGAGTGTGTGTGTGTGTGTGTGTGTGTGTGTGTGTGTGTGTGTGTGTTTAAATTCACATGTGTGAACAACCTACCAGCGGGGAATTCGTTAAATAAAATATGGTACATTTAAGCAGTAAAATGCTACACGGACTTAAAAAAAATGAAGTCTATACAACCATTTCTAGGTGGAGAAACGAAAACAGTCCATATGTGCATCCTTCATAGCAGCTTTATTCACATTCAACAAAACCTGCATGCAACCCAAGTGTTCATTAACTGGTGAATGGATTAACAAAATATGGTATATCTATAAAATGAAATATTATTCAGCAATAAGGGAATGCTACAAGGATGAACCATGAAAATATTATGTTAAGTGAAAGAAGCCAGACAGGAAAATTGACAATGTATGTCCAGATGAAATGTCCAGAAAGGCAAATCTATGCATTCAGAAAGTAGATGAGTGGTTGCTTGTGACTGGAGGTGAGATTGGAAGCGACTACAAATATTCATGAGGAATCCTTTTTGGGGTGATAGAAATGTTCTAAAATAGGATTGTGGTGATAGTTGCTATTAAATTTGCTAAAATTGAATTGTGTACTTAAAATGGGTGAGTTTTATGGTATGTAAATTATACCTCAATAAAGCTGTTAAGTCTGTATGAACTCATATGGAAAGATGGCTATACAAACTTAAAAAAGCTAGATGCACAACAGTGTGTATAAAAATAGATGTGCAAAGAGATTATTTCTGTAAGGATATCCAAGTAACAGTAAATAGTGTTTGTTCTTGAGGAGATAGCCTTGCAGATCTGGTATTAGAGGGAAATTTTTCTTTGTATAAACCCAAGGTACAGCATAAAAAGATTTCTTTGTTTTTTAACATATACATGTATTACCTTTTTCAATTTAAAAATAAATCTAAATCTAAAAATGAAAATACATATATGCACAGTCATGTTTTTTTTTTTCTTTTTCCTTTTTGTCTTTTTTCGTGACCGGTAACGGGATCGCAACCCTCGGTGTCGCGCCCGCACGGCGCTCAACCAGTGAGCGGACCGGTCTCTATATGGGATCTGAACCCTCGGCGGGAGCGCCGCCCTCTACCGAGGGCACCACTGGGCCGGGCGGCCCTGCACAGTCATGTTTAACAAAAGTAATGAGGATATAATACATCAAGGAGTTATTAGTAATTTACTTTGTTTTCTTTACTTTTTTGAATTCTCCTATTTTTCTAAACATACATTACTTTCTGTTTTTATTTTTTTGGTGACTGGCTGGTACAGGCATCTTGGTGTAACAACACCATGCTCTAACCAAATGAGTTAACCTGCCAGCCCTACTTTTTGTTTTTAAAAGTTTGAAAAATAAAATGAAGATAATGACCCATGTTTTGCCTTCTCATATGGGTGTCATGAGGATCATATTTGTCCATGGAGATTTAAGCAAGACCTCCAACCTTAGGGAAAGGACCCCAGTCACAATTCATCTGGGGATTTTCCTAGGTCACTAGAAAAGAGGTAAGAAATTCAGGAATGGAGAGACTCAGCAAATGTATTTGAGGGGGAAAGGCAGGGTAAGGTTTGGGAGCTACCATATTTCATCGAATATGAGATGCCATCAAAAGTAAAACTTGCCATTATTTTATGCTTTACTAAGAAAGAGAGAAAAATTTGTTAATTAAAATATGACCCACTTTTGATCATACATCTGGGTTCCTGAGATGTTAAATCTGAAAAATGTTTATATCGAAATAAATGAAACAGTATTGTAGCGGCACATCTCTCTCTTTGGCGAGTAGAACACCTACCGAGCACCATTTTTCCAGTTACACTAGCCTGATGCCTGACTTCCTCTCAGCGCTTCTGCATCCCCGCTCCATCAAGCCAGTCAGCAAGCCCTGCCTTTTCCAGCGCTGCCACCTGCCTGTCCATCTCTCACCTGGACCACTGCACTAGCTCCTAACCAGCCTGTTCATCTTACCCCTCCAATCCATTATTCATACCGCAGCTGGAGTGATCTTTCTAAAACTGATCATCTCACGCCCCTGCTCAAACATTTCCCTTGGCTGCTTTACCCGCAGGGTGAGGTCTGTTGAACTTGGCTTTTCCCGACCTGGGCGCTGCCTGCCATTTTAGTCTCCTGGCACTTCCTCCAAACGCAATTACTTGCTGCTTCCCTAAAGCACCGTATGTTTTCAGGCCTCCAGACCTTTGCACCAGCTGTTTTCTATGCTGGGGCTGCTGTTCCTCAACAAGTATTTATTGAACATGTAGTAAGTGCTGGGAGCTGAGGAGGGATAAGCAAGGCAGTTGCGAGCCCAATTCTCAGAGGCTAGTAAAGAGAGAGAGAAAAAAATGTAAGCACACAATCATTAGTTATAAGCACACGTGGTGCGTCTTCGTAAAGCTTTGTCGAAAATGCCAACGACGGCCTCAGAAAGTTTAGGACTCGAACTGGGCCCGGGAGGCAGCATAAAGCGGCTAGAACCCCGGATCGACCAGTGACGACGACTACCTGTGTGACTTTGGGCAAACGACTGTGGGAGTCCCCGCTCTGGGTAATGGAAATGAGAGTGCCCGCCCCCAGGATCTCGGGGAGGCCTTAGGATGAGATGCACGGGATCGCGCGGGTTCCGCGGGGCTGGAGGGCCCCTCCCGCTTGGGGCGCCGAGGGTCCCATGGCCGCGGGCGCGACGTGTGCGTACGTCCCTGCCGCCGACAGTCGGACGGCCGAGCCCAGACCGCAGCCGCCGGGGCGGGGCGGGGACGGGGGGCGCCGGCGAGGGGAGCGTCGCTCCACCCCAAATCCCCAATGTGGCGACAATCCCACACCGCATACTCCACCCCTCCCACTTC